ATTTTAACAGCCCTTGGACGGCCGGTGTGATGTCGATGTCTGTGCACGCATCGGAAACTGTACTGCACGCAGTCCTCTGGACCTCCGACACTGGAGGAGGAGAGGATTAAAGCCCCATGTGCAGCTATGGGCGGGAGAGGCAGCCCTCACCACCTGGCAGAAATTCACGTTCCGCGGTAAGAGCCCCTCCTGTACACAATCCTGAATTCTGAAACTACACCGCGGGAGCGAACGGATCCCTGTTTGCGAACTGCGGCTTCAGGCGGAGGGCACCCTTGGGTCCGAGGGCGATGTTCTTGCTGCAGGCGGCGTGGCGCCTGACGTTGGCCCGGGTCAGCGCCATGTTGACCTTGGACATCTCGCTCTGTCCGTAGCCCAAGAACTCGCGGCACATCTCCTTGATGGCGCCCCACGGAGTGCCTTCCTGGTACACCTCCACGACGTCGCAGCAGCTCTCGATGAAGTCCGTGGCGCAGCGCTGGGCGCCGCCCTTGGCCAGCTCAGCCTGCACGTCCCGCATCTCCGCGGGCATGGGGATCAACATCGTGCCGGGATTGCATCGTTCCTTGAGGGAGCCGTAGAGCCCCATGGCAAAGTACAGGAGCTCGGCGTTGAAGGCCCCACTCTGGATCCGGGCCTTGAGGCCGTCGTCTCCCTTCCTCTCGGCAGGACCGGAAGGGTTCGCGACGAAGCGGTGCTGGGTCTCCCACACTCTCGCCCTCCTGGTCCATCCATCGTCCTCGGAGTTCTGCACGCGGGGCGCGCGGTTGGATGTGCAGAAGAGGAGGCCCTGCGGGCGCCAGCTGCGGGGGCCTCGGTTGAGCGCTCGGCCTGCTATCGGAGCCCCTTGCTGCTCGCAGAAAGCTTTCATGAACTCTTCGTTGAGGTTGTCGTGGGAGGGAATCTCCGATGCCCACACCCCCCTCTTCCCTGCGAGCTGGTCCTGGAAGGGAGTCGCCGCGTTGGCCTCGGCGGAGCGGCAGGCCGTGACGAAGCGGCCGGGCAGGATCGCCCCGTAGTTGAAGGCCTCGTGCCCCAGGAAGGTCAGCAAGGGGAGGAAGATCACGTCCTTGCCGCTGCTGCCACAGCCATACATGTAGAGCAGCTCACAGATGCGGGCGTAGCCACTGAGAGCCCGGGCGTGCAGGCGCAGCAAGTAAAGGACCTGGTCCCAGCTGCCGTAGTTCTTCAGCATTCGGAGCCAGCCGCTGTGCTGCAGTAGAGACTCCAGTTCCGCGATGACCCGGTGGCCCTCTTCGTTCTCCTTCAGCTCGTTGGCGCCCGTCTCCAGGAAGTCCTCGACGTGCTTGAAGAAGGCGGTGTCGATGGGAGGCCGCCACTTTTTCGAGCCAGCAGCCGCTCTCAGGCTCATCCTGTCCCGGGGAAGGGCCCGTCGGATCTCGCCGGTCTCAAAGTCGGCAATGATGCCGTCGGCGAGGAGCATCTTGCCGCGGCTGTGGTCCCCGTTCAGCGGCTTGAAGGTGCGGCCACTCAGCCCGCCCAGCACCGCCTGAGTCAAGGAGGTCGCGAAGCCGATGTCGTTCAGGGGCTCGGGCGGAGTCTCCATGCTGCCGTAAAGCCGCTTCAGGCAGCTCCGGATCAAGTGGCCCAAGTGATCCTTCTTGGCCTCCACCCACGCACCGTCCGGGCCGAAGTACTCGTAGGTGTCCGCCCTCTCGTGCGGCTGGTTCGGCACGTAGATGATCGGCTCCAGCATGGCCACGAGGAGGTCCCCAAAGTCCCGTTGTTGGCGCGCGCCCGGCCGCGGGCGACGTTCTCCTTGCAGCGCTGCCGCAGCTTCTGGTAGTCGCCGTAGGGCAGTCGGGCCTCAAGGTGCCAGTCAAACTCCGGGTGCAAAGCGGCGGCTGTCTCCACGGCGTCGGGGACCGGCTTCGCAGCCACCTGGACCCCAAGGTCGGCCGCGGCCTTCAGGACCCGGTCTCGGGCTTCAGGAAAGACGCAGACACCGTCGTGCTCCGGGGCCAGCAAGGATGTGCCTGCAGCGGTCACCATGGCATCCAGGACCTTGCGCTCCCAGTCCGCGTAGGCGAAGAAGGCCGCACGGCCGCCGCTGCTCCCCTTCAGCGACGCGCGGGTGGCCTCGGGCAGTCGCCGCCAAACGAGCCGGTGTGCTCGGCGGACCTCATTCTCCAAGCCCTGGATGCTCTTGGCCTCCGCAAGGTCCGTCTCATCCAGCACGGTGCCCAGCTCTCGGGAGCACCAGTTGGCGAAGCAGCCGCCGAAGCCGATGCCGATGAGCAAGCGCTTGATGTGGCTGCGGTCGATGGTCACCTTGGCGCCCTGGGACTCCTGCCACGTCCGGAATGCCTGCGCGAGGCGCTCCAGCCAGGCCTCGCGGTTGCAGACGTAGTCGCGGATCAAGGGAGCCTCCTCAGCCGCCAGGACGTCCTTGACGAGGAACTGGAAGTAGCTGTTGGCCACATCGACCTCCAGAGCTCCGAGGCCCTGGCGGGCCATGCAACGGGTGAGCCTGCTGAAGCTGAAAGCGCTCCGCCCCACGAAGCGCTCCGGCACGTTGGCGCCAAGCTCGCGCTGCAACTCCACCGGGAGCTTATCGATGGCCTCGTCCCTCTTCGCGACCGCTTCCTTCAGCTCCTCCTGGCTCTTTTTGCGCTTCCCGTTGGACTCCGGCAACTGAGGGAGCTTGCCGATGCCGGAGAAGAGGCGGGCTCGGATGCCTGGCGGTCCTCGGCCCTGTCGCTGCAGCACTGGCACATAGCCCACCTTGCCGCAGATCCTGGTGGCTCTCTGCCGAAGCCAGTACAGCTCCTCAAACAAGTCCAAGGCATCTGCGCGGCGCACGGCGTCCAAAGCCAGGGCGCGGTCCAGTCCCGCCACGGACACAGCCTCCCAGTGCAGCCTGCAGTCCCCAAAGTCCAGGTCCGCGGGCGCGGACTGGAACGGGTGCTCGTCGTGCATGTCGGGGTCCTGCCGACACAAAACGAAGCTGGCGCTCGGCTGGAGGCTAAAGGACCGGGCCTCGCAGTCCACGAAGCCATCATCCTGCCAGGTTCAACCCGTCAACCCTGCAAAAAAAGGATGAGACTTGCGCCGGCCTCCTGCTGTGCTGTCGACGGAGGCGGAGTGCGCGATGACGAAGAGCCGGCAGCCTGGCGGGACATCAAACCCATCAAAAACGTCAAAGGAGATTCCGAGGGGCGCGGCCTCACTCGGTGCAGCGCCTGCACCAGCAGAAGCGGGCTCCTGACGGCATTCAGACACATTTGATGCTTTTGATGTCTTTGATCCCCCCGGCCTGCCCATCCGAGGGAGCTTCTCCAGGCCCGGTAGTAGCCTGGCGTCACAAAGCGCTGAAGTACATCCAAAAGTTCTGCGGCGCCAGGCCTCAGTCGGCGCGGATTTCGCCGCTGGAGGATTCGCCTCCTGCCTCCTCGCCCTCATGTACTGATCCAAGCCCACAGTCGTCGGACCAGCACGCAGCGCTGCAGCCTTGGGCGGCGGCGATGCCTTCGGGCCAACTCTCGGAGCCGCCGGTTCTTCGTTCTCAACAAGAATTTTGAGCTTCAGCTCCAGGCCAGTCATGGGTTGCCTCCGCAACATGCTTGCCCAAGACTCCGGGGACAACTCACCGCGGGTCATGTCGTCCCACAACTTGACGATGAGCTGCGCTGCTTGTGTGGCACGCAGACTGTTCTGGTTTTTGTCTGGATGCACTAAGGCGTGCATCTTGCGGTAGCACTGAACCGGCGTTGCCGTTGGGAAGACCCGCAAGCCCAGTTTCAAGAACTGGGCGTTGTTTGCGCCAACTTCAGTCAGCACCAGCTCGATAGCGGCAGCCCGCACGCCCGACGACATGCTGGCAAGAAAGCTCCGGGGCTTGATGCAAAAATTGCACACTGCAACGCAGGCCTGTTGACAGCTTCAACTACAGAGAAGGCCCAAGCCCCAGGTGCACACTGCAACGCAGGCCTGCTGACAGCTTCAACTACAGAGAAGGCCCAAGCCCCAGGCCGTCCGAAGTCGAGGATGACGAGATAGCAAAGCAACCTGAGCACAGCGGCGAAAAGTCCGGGGTCCCAGACGGGCTGACAAAGGCACCTACACGGCAGCGACCTACCGCAGCGCAGACAACTCTTGGCACACACTCTGAGAGATCGGCGCGCGGCAGCGAGGAGGCCTTGGGCAGGCAAGCCGGGGCAGTGAGAGGCAGCCAAAAGGGTTAGGGAAGGGAAACCCGGAACACAGAAACAACCCAAGCAAACTGAGGTCCCGACGCAAGCCCACCCACCCCCCAACCGCCCGGCAACCCGCTCCTACAAACTTGAACCTGCGAGCGCGGAAAGAAAAAGTCAAGCGCAGGGCAGCAGGGTTCGGGCCTACGGGCAAAGGGCTCACTTGCAGGGCAGATGGGGCACAGCCTACCGGTGGGGCCGAAAGGGGAGAAGGTGCCCTGAAAGCTTAGAGGGGAGCAAGGAAAACCGGGGTTTAGAGATCGAGCGGCAACCGCGCAGCACAGTTTTTTTAGCCTCCCCAGGCAACCACTGCACCGTCGTTGCGGATGGCGACGAAGCCTCGCCTCGTGGCACTTATTGCCGCGACTCCGCGCAGCTGGTTCTGCACTCCAGAGCTGTCTCCGCCTTCGCCCCCAAAGCGCCTAGGTGACCACGGAGCCGTCCTCCAGAAGCGCTGCGAAGGCGCTGATCGTGGCCTGTATTGCCACCACATTCCGGAGGTCCTCCTTCTGGCCGCCGTAGTCCGCATCACCCCAAGTGACCACTGAGCCGTTCTCCAAGAGGGCTGCAAACGCCCGAGCAGTCGACTGAATGCAGCGGACGCGGACCAGCCTTTCGGCGACCTCGGAGCTGTCCCCGCCGTTGGCGGCCTCCCCCCAGGTGATGACTGATCCATTGCCGAGGAGGGCAGCGAAAGCGTAGTGGGTCGCCTGGATCTCCGCGCAGTCGGAAACGGCCACCGGAAGATAGCCGCCTCCCGATTCGTCCCCCCAGGCTTGGACAGAACCATCTTGCAGGATTGCGGCAAAGGCTCGAACGCTCGCTGCCACATCGCGCACGCCAGTCAGCGGCCGTCCGTCGTCGGTGGTGATGAGGCCGCCACAATCGACATGACCCCAGGCCTCCACGGAGCCATCCTGCTTGATCGCGCAGAACGCCCAGCGATTGCCCAGGACCTTCACGACGCCTCGGAGGTCATGCAGTGTCGATGGCCCAGCCGCCACAGTCGCCGTCGCCCCAGGCTCGAGCTGAGCCATCTCGCAGGATGGCGACAAAGGCGCTGCTGTTCAACTGTATGCAGGTCACGCCGCTCACAAAGTCATCCTCGCCATACTCCAGTGGCGTGCTGCCTCCGTATTCGTGATTACCCCAGGCGGACAGGGTACCGTCTCGCATCAAAGCTGCAAATGCGCCGTCCGTCGCCTGGATCTCGACGACATCGCGCAGCTCCGGCTCGGCCCACTCCTTGTCTCCACCATAAGCAGCATCGCCCCAGGTCACGACTGAGCCATCTTCCAGAAGCGCGGCCCAGGCCTCGGCAGTGCACTGAAGCGCAGCCACTCCCTGGACCGTAGCCCCAGTGTCACTGCGAACCACAGTGGAGTCGCCCTCGAGCACGGCGTAGTGGCGCAGCCCTCCGCTCACTCGCGGCAGTCGAAGCTGCAGGGTCAGCGGACCACTCAGCCGCACACGCTTCAACGGCGCAGCCCTGTCCAAAGCCTCACCCTCAGCGGTCAGGAGCCTCCCCTTGCCAACTCGGAAAGCTTCGGCGGCCCTCCCTGCAAAAGACGCCACGACTTCGTCAGGCGACGCCTCCAGCACAGCCGAGCGCCCACTCAAAGGCTGGACCCGCACTTCCATGGACGCCATGTGATGTCAAGATGCTGAGTGCTAGAATGCGCTACCTTCCGGCAAAATATGTGCTAAGTGTTCGCTAGTGTTGTCTGTGCTGCTGAGTGCCGCTGTGCTGCTGTGCTGCCTATGCTGCTGTGCTGCTGTGTGCTGCTGCGCCGCCTATGCTACTGCTGTTGCGACGTGCTGCATTGGAAGAGCGGGCGCGGCAAAACAGAAGCAATTCCAGGGCAGCCAAAGGACGGGGGACCAACGGGTGGGCAGCAGGGCACTTGCAGGGCAGATGGGTGCAAAACCTACAGCGGGGGCCGAAGAGGTTTGGGTGCCCTGAATGCCCTGAACTAACTCCAAACCAACCTCGCAAAAGCACTCTAGCAAAATATTACTGCAAAAGTCGGCAAGCCTGGCTAGAATACCACTACAAAATGAAAAAAAAAATCAAAAGGTCTCCCCACAGCGCACTCGACCAACCGGGCGTAGAGGAGTCGCTCTCTAAGGAACCCGCAGCGACGCGTAAGGCGCGACACGGGCCCCGGCGATCTGGTGCTGTGTATTGTGCGGACGCTCCAGACCTCACAAGCCACGTCGGGAAAAGCATCCGGACGGCAAGCTAATAGCGGGAGCCACGAATACCATACGCACAATAAAGTGCCTATTTGTAGGTCTGCGGCGCGTGCCAGCAAAAGCCAAGGTGGCGATGGCGGCTTCAGTGCAGACCCGCACAAGCTCGCATGATCATGACAACCACAGCGAAAGCACTCTAGAAAGGGTACTGCAAAAGTCGGCAGGCCTAGTTATGTCACGAATTGAAAAAACA